GACAGTCAGACAAACTGCAGCATATCATGATGGCATAAGGGAAAAAATATTCCAACAAGTAACCGATTAAGAATTGAAACTGAGAAGCAAATATTTGTAAAATGAGCTTTCTACAGCTCATTTCTGTCCTCTCTGACTGTGACTCAGGAATAAATAGGAGAGCTCGCTTTCTATAGAATCTCTTGGTCTGAGGGGTGTGTGGGAGAGTGCCTACAGTCATCCCTTAAATTAGTCAGCCTGTTGCACTGGGTCACCGCTTCATGACGGTCTCTTCACTGCATTGAGCCGAGGCTGAAGTAAGGAACAGAGCCATGTGCATGAGTGGCCTGGAGAACTTTCCGTTTAGTCCTGTATGTGGTGACTGACTTGGCTCCTTGCCCTTGACTCAGCATGGCCATTCTTTGGTATTAATTTTCTAATTTCTAACTTCTAATTTTCTAAGTCTTTGGACTTCAGAAGTCTCCTGTGGTTTGACAAACTGCTGGCTCTCTCTGACAGCTGCATGTGGGCAGCTTGTGGCAGGAAGACTGACCGGTAAGGCAGGGCTTTCAAGGTCCAGTGGAACAGCATTCATGAATCCTGTATTGCTTTGGTGTATTGCAGTTCCAGGGATTGTCACTCTTTGCATGAAAAGCAATCACTTTAAGACAGAATGATCTGGCTTTCTGGGTGGGGGTGGGTGTTCAAGGGGCAAGGACTAAGAGGAAAAATGCCCAATACTGAAGAAGGGTCCAAACCACAGGGCTACAACAGATCTCCTCTGCTGTCACCATGCTGGCCTATGGGCTGGAATGTCAATGTTGCTTCTGTGCACACCTGAATAGGGAGCTGGCATCAGTGGATCTGTGCAGTCATGGATCCTGTAACCTGCCCTTTCACCCTGTGTGCCATCCTGGCTCACCTTAGCTCCGACACGTTCTGCAAAGCACTCTGAATACAGAGGTCTGCCCCACCCTATAAGACCAGTTTACCCGAGGCACTTCTGTAAAAGGTGCAGAGGACAGGCTGTTGTGGGAAGGGAATGCACCAACGTGCTGCCCACCCACCCCAAACAAACCTTTGTTGGCCTGACTATTGGAACATTACACTGGATATTTGAAGTGTTCAGATCTTTCTGCAAAGATCTAGAAACTGTAATAACCTTTAATAAAGCCACCACCCCTTTAATAAAGCCACCACCCCAACACCTTTTAGCTGAGTCCTGTTTCTCTTTTTCAGTCTAAAGCTCTGAAAAACCACCATGCCTGAACTAAACAGAATTCATCTCCCTTTTAAAAACCAGGGGCAGGGGAATTCTGGCTTTACTGATGTGAATGGTAAAACGGCCAGTGACTTCAGTACGGCCAAGGTTTCATCCCATAACAGGATTAGTTGATGCTTGGTCACGTCTGGCTTGAGCTTCTTGCCCATTTAAACATTTTGCCAGTGCTTTCCTTGCTAAGTAGTGGGTGTCTCTGTCCCAGAAATACATAACTGCTGGGTCATTTGTATCAGGATCATTGTTGTTTAGATGTGTTAGGGTAGAGAGTACAAGTCGGGGGCTCCATTGTGCAGCCACTGTACAAACGCACAGTAAGACAGGCCTTTGCCAACACGAAGCTTAGAATCAAATGACCTGATCCTGGAAAGAGACCTATGCAAGCAGACCCCTGTGTCCACATGGCGCCCCACTGACTTACACACAGCATCATGTGAACAAGGGTCCACTCCATGTTCTTTTTGCAGGATCAGGGCAAGACCGGAATTATCATCCCAGTCTTACAGAATGGGGGTTGAGGCAGAGAGCAGGATTTCAAAAGCCACTTTCAGTGGGTCTAGTGTTCCAAAGTTACATTCAGAGGTCACAACCTTCCTTGCAAAGGTTCTGAGTACTCCGTTTGCTCCAGTTGGAGTTCTGGGTCCTCGTCGGCCCTTCTGAAAATCAGGCCCCGTGTGCTGGACGTCATCTTGCAAAATTGTGGTTGCATTTGGTTTTATTTTTTAGGATACTGCAGCTCCCATCTGCACAACATGCTATCCGGGGAGTAACGTATCTGAGACTGCTATCTCTGGGGTCACCGCGTGCAGTATTGCTCTCGGTTGCATGAAACTGCAACCAGAAATTTAAAAAACAAACCAAAAAACCCCTTAAATTTCACAGGGCTGCTACTTTCTGACTTGAGGTAGGGGTGTGTGTGTGTGTGTGTGTGTGGGCAGTGAAACCCCGCATTTACACCAGATAACTGTGCATAGTCAGATTACTGGTAAAATAAACCAGCAGCTAGTTTACAGGAAAGCATAATCCAGGAATGCAGGTCTGCTGTGCGTTCCCAATGGCTGCTTGCTATTTTAAGACTGCTTTATTCTTTAGATGGCTCTGTTGCTAGAATGCTGCCAGCTTAGATGAAACCTATCCTGTATTGTTTCAGATGATGCTTGTGCTAGGAGCGGTACACATACAATTAAAAAAAAAAATTAAAATAAAAAACCTCTTGTCCTAAAGAGTTTATAGTCTAAATAGACGAGACAAGCCCAAACTGGTGGTTGGGAGCAAAGCAACTTGCATAAAGTCACTCAGAAGCTGACCTGGGATTAGAACCCTAACCTCTTCTCAATTTTAGTGCAGCATTCTAGCCACTGGACTGTGCTATCTCTGTCCAATCTAACGATTGCAGCCCAAGATACTGTTCTGCCTGCTAATGATTCTCCTATCTCCTGATACTTGTCTCACATTGACTCAAGTGCGCCCACCTTCTAGTGACCCACTCCACGGTTATTCGCTCGTATGATGAATGGTTCAGTTTGGAAGCTACAGCCATGCACGTCTGGATAAAGATCCCAGTACTGCGTGACTGCCACCTTTGCTTTGCCATTGCGACTGTTGCTGAACTATCAAGCAGAGTTGTTTATGGCCAGGGATCGCAGCCCCATCCTGAGCATGGCTTACCGGGCTCTTCCTAGCCCGGTGTCGCATGCTTTGGCCATGTACATATGCAGAAATCCACAGTTGTCTTTCAGAGAACTGGTCCTAAAACACATGCTTTCCAGCCACCTACCGAAGAGGCAGTAATGGGCAATATAGTCGTAAATGCACTACAAGCAAGTCACATTCAAGTAGTGAGGGGTTTTTCTAGTGTGCTGCCACCCAGTGTGTGCACAGTAATCGCACATTGTGTGTTCTACTAAACCAATCCAGGGCTTTGAGCACAGAGACCTTGTGGATCAAGCCCCCTCTATTTTATCACCTATTGATGTTCCATTTCCCCTATTCCTCTGAGAGGCAGTGTTGCCTAGTGGATAGCACACTGGCCAGGAGACCTGGGTTCTATTCCCAGCTCTGCCACCGGCCTGTGGGGTGACATGGGGTAAGTCACTGTACTTCACTGTGCCTCAGTTTTACCATCTGGAAAATGGGAATAATGATACTGAACTCCTTTGTAAAACACTTTTTGAGTTTGGTTGATGAAAAGTGCTGTATAAGAGCTAGGTATTATTGCTTACTCACCTGTCTTTAGATCATGAGCGCCTCAGACCGCCTTCTTGAATGTGTGGAAAGTTCCTCACATAACAGGCGCTACTGTAAATGCTAGTAACTCCATCATTTGTGTCACCAAAGAGACCCCAAAATAGCATTAGGACGTCCATGTCTGCTTCAGGACAGTCAGTAGGAGGCAGTATCCTTCCAAACCAGTGGACAGGTCAGAAATAATCTGCTCTGTAGAGGGCAGCAGTGTACACCAGCCTTTCAGTGAAGATCAAGCATAGTGTCTGTTTGCCATTTAGTATTTGATACCCCCTCTCTCTGGGGATGGATTAGATCAGTGGTTTTCAACCTTTTCATTTGCGGACCCCTACAAAATTTCAAATGGCAGTGCAGACTCCTTTGGAAATCCTAAACCTAGGCCACCAGGGTGGGGTCTGTGAGACCACAGGTTGAAAACCACTGGATTAGATAGATCTAATAAATCTTTCCCATTTGTAACTTCTCTGATTTTTATGTATGCAAGTCACTGCATTACATCATGCAGACATGTAGACAGAAAATATTTCCAGTGGGAACTTGAGAAGAGACATTAAAGAGGACAAGAAATGCATGTTTGTTTTTCCTTTTAATTATAAATCTGATCTTCCCTCGAATGCTAAAATTCTTGTGTTTTACTGTAGACATGTTTTGGTTAATAAAATTCAGATAGACTAAATTGCTTTTGAGGTGTGTTTGTTTAGAAGTCTTTGAAGCTTATGTCTGCCCTCTGGGGATGTGTGACATAGAAACAATGAGAAATCTCTTTTGAGGTTTATTTTATGTTAGGAAATACATAAGGCACAAATACTAATATTCCTTTTGTGTTCTTTCAACTCTTGTAGCAAAATTGAGATTGTCAGGCACTGGAAGCGTTTGGTGTTTTGAGTCCAACATAATTTTTATTCTTTAAGTAATTGTTTGTCTTGAAGTCGAGGCCAGAGATCCCAACCAGAGCATGTCCCCATTATTCTGGGTGCTGTACAGAGTTCTAGGAAGACGCTAGGAAGTCTAAATGTGGACCACATGCTGTAAGTGGGTGTAACCACCACATGGAAAGAATGAATGAGGTAACCACAACAGGAACACCCAGTCCTCGGGAAGTGTAGACCAGCTGTGTGCACAGTTTTCAGACAGAAGGCAACGGATCACTCCTCATTATGTATGTGGTATATTTTGGGTGAAGTTAACCGCTGTCGGCAACTGTCTTTTCGTGATGGTTTAAAGAAGGGTCATGCAGGAATGGAAATCTCCTGCCCCACTCCTGTCTAGTGAAACCACAGGGGGAATCAAGTTGTCGCTGTGCTGTTCAGCGTAAAGGAATAGCGCTATTGACTCCCAGAAGTGCCTGGTTAGTCGTTGTTGGTGGCTTATTTATTTGCAGTCCAGTAACACCTACGAGCCCCTGTCAGACCGGGACCTATTGCGCGAGAACAAAAAAATGAGTCCCTGCCTGAAAGAGCTTTCAACTGTAACCATTTTGCTTTCTGGATCCCAACAGGTGAAACTGGTCCGGTACATCAACAGACAGCGGCAGTGTAAGCTGAGCGTCCCCCTGAATGACCGGACAGTGGAGCTCAACAGCTACCCAAGATTCAATGACTGGTTAGACCTCGTCAATGTAAAGAAAGAAGTTGTACAGGTAAGGGACAAATCCACCAGTACAGAGCATGCCTGCCTCTTCAGTACTGGATTTCCTGACTGCCTGCTGGTCTAATTCAGACTCCTGACGTTATTTTAAAGCAAGGGGCTTTTTGCAAATGTTGATTTGCATGCACCTTTGTAAAATTATTCGTCTCGGACAACAATACTACGTTGTCTGGGTTGAAGCTGCAGAACGCGGCTTTGACGTGTGCTTGATCTGGAAAAACTATATATACGCTAGTCCAGATAATAACCGTCTCTTTAAGAAGCACGGGAACTTCTGTATCACATGTTGGCAAGCGTACCTGGTCTCTTCCTGCTTCAGATCTGAATGAGAGGAGATCAAACAGGTTTTGCAACATGTTTTGTTTCCAGCTCCGTGGGCGGCAGCAGCAGCAGCAGCTCCGGTAAAAGGCCTGGTGGGTCTGCGCTTCCTAAGTCCTCTCTCCCTCAACTGCTAATGGGAAGAGAAGATTCTTCTCTCCTGCCTAAAGTCCCTCTTTCCCCATCATCCCTATCCAGAGGAGCAGGGAAAATCTGCCCCCCAGCTACAAGATGGAGGTGCTTACTATGGATTGGGTACCTTAATATCTTGCTACGTTTATGGACCAGACACACCCTTCTTCCACCTACTACTCTTCTGGACCAGGGACTGCCCTTAACCTATTCACCTGGTATAGTTCAGAAACGCCACCCTCCAAACAAGCCAGATGTCCACCTACACCTCACACTGCTGGCTGCAGTGGGCTGGAAACCCCTCTGTACGTGATACAGGCTGGGAAGGTGACTTCAGGTTATAATCTTGTATACTGAAAGATCATAATGTTGCAATTAATATACCCGCCAGGGCAGACTTGGGCTTGTGGGGGTCTCTCCTGTAAATGCAGAGAAGAACGGGATTCAACGGTGGAGTTTGGTTTCAGAGAAGTAGCTGTGTTAGTCTGTATCAGCAAAAAGAACGAGGAGTACTTGTGGCACCTTAGAGACTAACAAAGTTAGTTGAGCATAAGCATTTGTGGGTGGAGCTGTTTGCAGTTGGATCCTAGAACTTCCTCACTTTTGTCTGGTTGATATTTAACTGCGCTATTTCCCCTTGTTTTTGTACGGAATCTGCTCTCGGCAACGCTGCTGTACATTGGGAACTGCTTTTCTGAGCTCCATGGGTTAAATACTCTGTAAATTTGCCTTTCTTTGGAGCTGTGCCATAGGGCTATGCCAATTTATACCAGCAGAGAATTTGACCCAGTGGATCTAGAGCTCTACTGATGTAAGAGAGCAGAGACTGTCCCACTAATCTAGCCTTGATTGGGACATACCAGAAGGATTCCTGTCTTAGTGGGTTCAGTGGGTAAAGTCTCTGGGTCAAACTGAAAGTGTGAGGCCTTGCACCTGCATGGCAGAGGAGAGCCAGACTCCCTGGGTCTGACTTTCAGAGGTGCTGAGCACCCACAGCTGTAGTTGAAGTCAGTAGGAGCTACAGGTGCTCAGCCCATGAAAACCATGCCTGAGGTGTGTGACCCCAGAAGAGCGTGTGGATCCTTTATAATTTAATTCTCCACACTTCAGAAACCCATGGCAGCTAAAAATTGACAGCCTCCCCCCCAGCCCAAAAAAAAAAAAAAAAAAAAAAAAAGCTGGCAGCGAGCCAGTTATGACCGTGAGCCTCCCATCCTAGTGCTGGCTCTATCTGTTAATGGCAAGAACGTACCTGCTTATTTGTATCCACTGGATTATGGGGAAATTTATGACTGCAGGAAACTGACATCAAGTTCGTCACTTGAGGCTGGACTCTGCAAATCTTACACAGGTCAGAGCACTTGCTCACAGGAGTAAGTGCCATTGGCTTCATGGGGTCCGTTCCTGGGAGCGCTCAGCAACATACACACCTCCCAGCACCCAGTGAACAGCCTGATGTCGATTCCCAGTGATTGCAAATCTCATAATAATCCAATGCATATGAATAAGCAGTGAACTCTCTTCCTGGTTTTGGCAGCCCCGGGCAAATCCCGAGGTCCTAGTTCAGTTTTCACGTAATCCTTTCTCTAGCAAAAGATTTCCTTGACTCCAACAGGAATAAAGACTGAGTGAAAATGGGGGGGTTTGTTGAGCTGGTGTTTGTGGAGTTCCTCCAGATTCACATTGCTATTAAAAGTGCAGAACCTGGCCCAGTAGTACGACTTCAGGACTGGGCCTTGCTGTTTTTATGTAGAACGTAGGTGGTTCATAGATAGCTCATAGATTTTTTTTTTTTTTTGGGGGGGGGGGGGGGAGGGGATTACTGCCCTAGATGCAGCAGCTGCAGCGGTGCAGTCTGTTCCTGGGACTGAACTGCCAGGTTGTTCGTTGGTTTCTGCAGTAACTGCAACTTACACAGAAATTCTTTTTGCCTAAGGAACTCACTGAAAACCTCTTTACAGTGTCTGTAGAAAGGAGTGGGGAAGTACCTTCTGCACCCCATCCTGGGCATTTCAAGTCATCTGCGTGGTTGCTAGGATGGTGAGCAAAGATGTGTCTGCTCCACGCCCAGAAGAGCAAACTTTCTCACTGCTTAATGCTGTTCTTCACAGCCCCCTTGCTGTCTCCAATCCTCTTAGAAATAGACAAACCAGGTGGCTCTTGCTCCCACCATCAGAAATACCGGTGCCTTGTGCAGCATTTATTTAAATTGCTTTTTGATCCCAATTCTCCTTTTCCTCGGTTCTGATCCCGTTTCATTGCCGAGGGTTATTTGTTTTCTCATGCAGCGGCAGTCGGTTTGGGTAACATTGAGATGCGTTGCGCAGGAAATACACAGCAAAGTCTGTCCAGTTTGACTTTTGTGTGGGCTCATGGGAATGAATTGGGAGCTGCAGGTTGCGGGGGGCGGGGGAAGGAAAGACACTCTCTTAAACCAAAGACAGGATTGTACAAATCCTAGTTGGCTTTTCGCTGTTGGTGGTGGTGGTTTTTCATCCTCCTTTTCTCTCTGCTTGGACAATAGCAGTTAATGAAATCTGTTTTAGCTTTAGTTGATAGGCTGGTGGGGCTTTAATGCCTGGGATGTAAACTGTGCAGCGGGTTGTTTGTCTGTTTTGTGATGAGTTGGCTACTAGAAATTGTACACAAATCGTGGGACCATTTCTGTTGGGCTCTGGTTTCATAAGAACTTGTTTTTATAGAACCCGAAATGTATCCACATTGGAGCAGAGTGCTTTGAAAACAGTCAGAAGAAGGGTGCTATGCAGGGCTCAGTGTTCTTGTTTATGTAACATCTTTAGGGATGTTTTCCTGTAGTGTTCTAAAGAACACCGTGCCTGTGAGTTGCTGAGGGAGTCCTCAGGCAGCATGGCCTAATGGATAGGGAGTCAGGAGATATGGATTCTGTGACCTTGGGTGAATCGCTTCCCTTTTCTGTGCCTCCATTTCCTCTTCAGTAAAATGGGGATAATGAGACTGGATTTCCTTTTTGTAACACGCTTTGGGAATCATTGATGAAAAGTACCTAGGTAAAACTTTCAAAAGTGCCTACATAACTTTGGCTACAAAGTGCCTAAATCTCCCTTTCTAAAGGGATTTAGGCATTCAGGTCAATTAGATGCTTTAACACTTTTTACCCAGAATCCCACTGATGCTTTTGAGAAATGTACACTCCGTGCCATAGCTTAGTGACTCGAACAGAGATTGGGACCCCATTGCATCAGGCACTGTATAAGCACGTGGCGAGAGTGTGTGTCTGCCCTGAAGAGCGTCTAAACTAAATAGAGAAGACCCAAAGTGTGGGAAGGAAAACAGATGCCCAGAGAGGTGAAGTAACTTGCTCCAGGGCACCCAGTAGATTGGCAGTGACAGAACCCAGGGCTTTCTGGCTGCCAGCCTGGTGCTGTACCCATTGGACCATACTGTCTCTCCCAAGCAACTAAAGGGCTTGTGCTCCTTTTATATTATGTGAATGCTCAGATGCTCTTGTCAGTTCTAATGCTGCCGGAGCATCCTGGTGACTGTGCTAATCTGTGATGTAGCACTTGGAAAACCAGCCTTCTTTGAAGGCATTTTCAGCTAGTCCACCCCCCACCCCCAAACTCTGATCGGCCTTCTCCAAAAATAAAGCTGCCGTGCAGTGAAGCACAAAAACTCCCGGGCTCTCCTGTCAGAAATAGAGCCACGGTTCTAATTTTAAAATATTTGCTGACTCCTCCAGTCCAGCGCAAACCCTATTTTTTGCTCACTGACACCACTCCAGCCATCGAGAGCTTTCAAGCGGCACAGTGATAGAATTGCTGTCCGTCCCCCCCCTCACCCCCGCCGGTGAACGCCTGTATTTAAAACCAGAATAATGTCCGCCTGTCAGATCCTTTAGCTCTGGAAGAGATTACAGTAATAACAATGCACTGTTTATGGCGTTGGGCAACAGCTAAAACTCCTGTGAACATGGATAACAGTGAGCCAGTAATGCTGCGGAGCGTGAGAGGGCTGTTTGGTGCCGGGCTAGCAGACGCTGAGGTAGGTGGAGAATAGAAGCCTCCAATTTTCACTCTACAATGCACATTTTTGTGAGGGGTAAGTCAGCAAATTTGTAGAAGCCAGTTGCTGTGATTTCTCTTTCTTCCCCTTCCTCCCCCCCCCCTCCCCTCCCCCATGGGGTAAGTCAGCTAGTTTGAGGCAGCTCTGCTTTGGGATGGGGCTATTCTGTCTTGGATAATTTTTTGGCAAAAGGCTGAGGAGATATCTGATGGCTAAGTGCTCCGGGGAGGGGCTAGCTTTAGCCAAGCCCATGTGTGGGGAGAGCCGTGTTCTCCAAAGGGTGGAAGATACATACTTCGACAATGAGACTGGACAAAGTGCTAGGAAAACACAGGGGATAATCCTGTCTGGACTGGGAGTTGGTATGGATGGTCCAATGCAGGAGTTCTCAGCTGGGAGTCGTGAACCCCAAGAGGGTGGATCAGGTGTCGGGAGGGGTGTGTGATTGCCCCGCCTTTTGCCTAGCATTAAATGAGGGGTAAATCTCTGCAAAAAGGG